GCTATTTTTTGGTTGCAGCCATTATTGTTGTTTGGTGGGTCCGGGCTGGATTCGAACCCGCCACCTTAGGTGTATGTGGCTGGCGCCTTAGCCACTTGAGCCACAGGTGCCGAGCCGGGAAATGTGCTTTTTACTGTGCTTGCCATACAGGGTTCTGTTTTCTGCTCATTGTCCCCTCCTCACCCTACTCCCACTTGGAGATTCCTTTTATTTTTTATGTGTTAGCCAATATCATTTTAAAATTCTGTTTTGTTTTGTTTTTTAAGATAGACTCTCAAGCTGTCACCCTGGGTAGAATGCCGTGGCGTCACAGCTCACAGCAACCTCAAACTCTTGAGCTTAAGCGATTCTCTTGCCTCAGCCTCCCAAGTAGCTGGGACCACAGGCGCCCACCACAATGCCTGGCTATTTTTTGGTTGCAGTCGTCATTGTTGTTTCGGTGGGCCTGGGCTGGATTTGAACCCGCCACCTTAGGTGTATGTGGCTGGTGCCTTAGCCTATTGAGCCATAGGCGCAGAGCCCTAAACTTCCGTTTTATGTTGAATCTAGTTGTGTGATAGTGAGAGGACCTTGAGAGTATCTCATCCAACATAATGAAGTCTCTGATTTCACCTTTATCTAATTTTATCCTGAAGCAACTCCCAGAAGTAGGAGGGAGGAAAACGAGGGCCAGAGAGGTCAAGGAACATACCCACAGTCACTCATGGAGTCAAGTACAGAGCTGGGACTTTAGCTCTGATCTGCATGACTTAAAAGCCTGTCCTAAGCACACCCCCCATACCTGTTCCCTCCCTGATTGATACCTTCTGGCGTTTGTAAATGGTGGGCAGAGGGGCCACCTCACAGTCCTTGTGGGCACCAAAGACCTTGCAGAGAGAGCAGGTGGGCACTTCACAGCTCAGGCAGTAGATATTGATCTTCTCTTCCTCATGTTCCTCACACATTAGGTGCTGCTCAGCCTTGGAGTGCAGTGGCCTGGAGGGTGGGGGCGGGGGGCAAGGTGGGCCAGGGTCCAGGCCCAGGGCAGGTGGGCCCTAAGCATGTGGGTTTCATGAACACCATCTCTTCTGGCTGCACTAACAACCACCTTCTCTGCCCCTGTAGCTGAAGCCAGAAAAGCAGCCTACAAGATGGAGTCTGAGAAGCTAAGCTGAAGTAGCACAGCTGAACTAGTCTGCTTAGCTCAGATTCTCTCCCACAACCCCCCAATTATCTAGTTAAGACTTCACCATTAGTGCGAGGATATTCTTGGAGAGGTAGTCACACATAGACAGTAGTAAGCACTGTAATATTGTTAGAGTAAAAGTTACTTTGATGTTTTCCTTTATGATTTTCTTAGATATTTTGTTAGGATAAAGGTTGCTTTCCTTTCTCTCTCTCTCTTTTTTTTTTTTTTTT